ATTGATTCTCCCTGATTGAACCCGATAAAGTAAATTTGAATTCTTTGTTCCATAGGTATTCCCATTTGTCCAGTTCTATTGGTCTGCCTAGGTCCTTGGCCCAGGATAACATTACTGTTTTAACACTGTTATCCTCCATGTTATAACTTAGTATGTATTTGTATAATCTAGAGATTAACCCTTTATCCCCCTTTTCCCATAAAACAATGCAATAATTAAAATGAAGAATAATTTTAACAAATATAAACTTATTAGTATTTCATTGGGAAGTGTGGGCCTGCTTTTGGCTGATGAGATAGGATAGTTGTTGTTGTGTGCTTTCAAGTCATTTCAGACTTAGGTTGACCCTGAGTGAGGGCTGGGTAAATGACCTTGCAGGGCTGCATCTGGCCCCCGGGCCTGAGTTTGAAGACCCCTGATGTAACTGCTTAAATTATGAAAACAAAAAATCAGATCTCCCTTCCCCTATTAAAAGTTTTGTTTTTCAATAAAAGCACTCATCCAAATTTTAACCATTTTTTAATTTTATGTCAAAAGCAATGCATAAATAAGTATAAAACTGATAAAAATAGAGGAAGCACAAGCAACTAAATAATTTTAGACCAAAAACAGCTATAGCAACCGCATTGTCTGTAGCTTTAAACAATTCTTCCTCTGTACATAAGGCCATTCTTCTCAACAGTTTACTTAGAATTAACTCTTTCTGTCTCAAAGTTCCTGCATTCTTTTAAAAATATTTTATGTTGGAAAATATATAGCAAAACATACTATATTATTCAAGTATGTATAAGCACAGGAAATAAAGAGTAAAGAAAATAGATTGTAAATAATTGCTTGATATATTTTCCTTCTGTCTTTGGTTATGAATCATTTCTAGGAAATGGACTGAAGATGTTGATGAAGAGAGCGCTGAAATTTAAGGACCCCTTATTGATGAAAATGATTAGGAACATCTCTCAACATGATGGGCCAACCAAAACTTTGTTTATTGTAAGTATTGTCATCAGCAATTTTTGTTCTTTCTTGAGGTGGAAGTTCTTTCCGATTAATTTTTGTTTTGTTTTTTAGAGTGAAGGACATAGAAGGACATAGATTGTTTTAATTGTTGTCTTCTGTTCAAATTTGGTGTCAATTCATCCAGTGGTCTCTGAGTTCTGTTAATCCCACAAATGAACATTACATTTTTATTTATATAGATAGAATAGATTTTTCTTTTAAAAAAATCTTTTTAAAAATTCTTTTCATTTGTTTTCTTTGTTGTCTTAAATGTATGTGGTACTAAATGCTTGCTTTCTTCCATAACTTGTTTAGGATTATGTTGGTGACCTAGCTGCTCAAATATCTAATGATGATGAAGAGGAATTTGTTATAGAATGCTTAGGAACTCTGGCAAATTTGACCCTGCCTGATTTGGATTGGGAACTTGTGCTGAAGGAATATAAAATGGTACAATATCTCAAAGATAAATTAAAGCCAGGTTTGTATTGTTAGTTCATCCGTCTTCCAAGATACCATTACTACACCACACAGTGGTTGATATAATAATTGGTGGTTATTCAGTTTTACGTCATTGTGAATTTGAAGATCACCTAAAAAACATACGTTTGCAATTAGCTGTTTTGTCAAAGGCTGGAATCACTGGGTTGCTGTGAATTTTCTGGACTGTATGGCCATGTTCAGAAGCGTTCTCTCTGATGTTTCGCCCACATCTATGGGAGGCATCTTCAGAGGTGACCTCACAACCTCTGAGGATGCCTGCCATAGATGTGAGCAAAACATCAAGAGAGGATGCTTCTGGAACATATCCATACAGCCTGAAAAAAACTCACAGCAACCCAATGAGCTGTTTAGCTGAAAGAAACAATGTGTTTTTGATATACTAGGCCAACTAAATGGCACATATAGAAAAAGCAAAGCTTGTAGATCACCCAGGTTTTCCTCCCCTTCTCACAGAATTATTCCAAGATATCAGCTCAGTATTATTATCAGTGTCTGCATTTGTTTTATTGAGTTTGAAGATTGAACTAGAATGTTGCATCAGTGTAATAGCTATTCTTTAATACAATAATTTCATATAGGTCACATGTTATTCAAATGAAAAGCCTAGATGTGTCAAAATTCACATAGAAAGGTCCTGTCGGGTTTTTTTTTAGTCCCAGTGGGTTTCAGCAACATAATATTTTCATTCAAATTTATTAGGTTCTGCAGAAGATGACCTTGTGTTGGAAGTGGTAATAATGATTGGAACTGTATCTATGGATGACTCCTGTGCAGCACTGCTGGCTAAATCTGGAATTATTCCAGCACTTATTGAACTCTTAAATGGTAGGTATCTGATATGTTATGTAAGCTTTTAGAAGAGTTATGGTATTTCTGTTTTTGGACATAGTGTAAGATGAGAGTGATATAGTGGTTTGAGTGGTGGACTAATGCTCTGAAAACCATGGTTTGAATCCCCCCTTGGCCCATGGGTGACCTAGTGCAATTCACATTCTCACAGTCTCAGAGGAAGACAAAAGACAAACCCTCTAAACAAATCTTACCAGGAAATCATAAATGCAGTAATATTTAAGATTTAGGAAAGTCTGCTTTCTATAAAATCATATCATAGTGTCATAGGGACGCAACTGCAATCCTGTCCAACCTCCTGTCATACAGAAATATACATCAATCCTGACATATGATCATCCACCCTCTACTTAAACACCTCTGAGGCGAGGGAGAGAAATTATTTCCTCTTTTTAAAAAAAAACCTCTTTGCTGCCTTATACTGATTCAATTTCTTCTTTTATATTGGCTGGGACTTTCTGTGTGCTGTTAAACCTTTGTACTTTATATCGCAGGCAATGAAACACTCTTGTGTATAACAAAGTAACACAGTTTATTTATAACTTCTGGCTCCAACGCTTGTGGTTACATTTGTGTTTTGTTGCAATCTTGAGGCTTACAGTCAGTATCATTTACTTGGTTAACTTTTCTGAATAAACTATCAATGTTTCAAATTCACAAACATGTTACTTGCTTTACACACTCTTGGCTGAATTATATTCTGAACTAAGGCAACACTAGCCTTCTTTATGTTCCTTAAAACTCGTGCTCTATTTAACTACCTGCTTCTCTGTATCAGAAGTCTTTAACACATCTTCATAACTGCTTATTTCTATCAGGTACTAAAAAACCAACTCTCCTCTTCACACACAGATTCCTAACGGTCGTTTTTTAAACTCCCTCACTCTAATTGCCTCTTTCAGAACCTTGGCTCCGCTCCTTTGGAATGTTCAGCTCTGCTCTCCCCAACTGTCATTTTAGCCTAGCAGCCTTTTCAAATCCTGGGCCTACACTAATCTGCATATGACCAATCAGCTTCACATATTCAGATGAATCCTATCTTTGCTGTTGCTACCCTGTCTGTGCCTATTCTTCCCTATCTGCCATATGTAAACATAGAGCTATACACCAAAACTTTAACATAGAGTAGCAATTTCACTACAACCTCTAAAGAAGGAAACTCTGCATTTTGAAGCAGCATATTCCATAATCAAAAAGTTCTTACTGTTAGGGAATTCTTTTTAATGTTTAAGGGGCATTTATTTTCCTGAGTTTTTCTTTTTTCCCTGGTCGCTGGAGCAAAGGAAAGCAAGCTTACTCTATTTACAATATGGTGTATTTTCAGATGTTTGAACATAGTTATATCACTTCTTGACCTTCTGTTCTTCAGGTTAAGCATACCTATCTTCCTATATTGCTCCTCATAGGGCTAAATAGATGGCAAAAAATGATAAATAAATATTGTAATGGTAGTAAAAGAAATAGATTAAACAAACAGTTATGGTACAGATTGCAAAAAGATGGAGGATTAGCACTCCCTAATATTAAAAAATATGATGAAGCGAGCAGATTAAGATTGGTTATAGAAGGAATGATAAAAAAAGAGGGAGTAGATTGGCTAAGAAAGGATTTGGAAAAAGTGGAGGAAGAAACTTAGAATATATTTTTAAAACAGTTTATGAGAAAAGAAACTAGGGAAATTAGAAACCCAATGTTGAGTAATATATTAGAAGTATGGAACAAATATAGGAGAATGTTAATAACGGATGGTTCTGTAATAACCCCAATTGTAATGGAAAAGTAATTTCCATTTTTTAAAACGTAATGGATAAAAAATTAAGGGAAAAAGATTTAGACAAAATAGGGGATTGGATAAAGGTTGGAATGAAGAAGGAAATACTTATGGAAGAACTTAGAGAAATAAAATTGACATGGTTCCATTGTATACAATTAGAACAATGGTTTAAAAATTGGGGAAAAAATAATAAAAACGGAAGTAAGCTTAACCAATTTGAACAAATAATACAAAATAGAAGGGTTGTAGAGGAGCATGAAAATTTGAAAGGAATAACTAGTAAAGTAGATAATAATGAAATAAAGAAAGGAAAAACAAAAAATAATATCCTCAAGGAGGTCTGGGAAGGGATAAAAATAAATGAAACAGAGTGGCAACAATTATGGAAACAAAGACATCTAAAATTTATCAATGTGGGTTAAAGAAAAATATTATAAGTTAATGTGGAAATGGTACAATATGGTGTATTTTCAGATGTTTAAACATAGTTATGTCACTTCTTGACCTTCTGTTCTTCAAGTTAAGCATACCTATCTTCCTCATAGGGCATGACTTCCAGATTTTTTACGATTTTGGTTGCCCTTCTCCAGACTTGTTCCAGCTTGTCATATGAACGAAAATGTTCTTGTAACAAATTCATAATTATCATCAGCTAAGACCCAGTGTAGCGGCATGGCCAGAAAGGCTGGATAGAAATAAATTAAATCAATAAATTAAATAAATGTGTGTTCGTGTGCTTGTAACTGGAGTTTTCAGTTTTGATGGGAGCTTTTCTTTTTTTTTCTATGTAGCTCAACAAGAAGATGATGAATTTGTGTGCCAAATCATTTATGTGTTCTACCAAATGGTCTTTCATCAAGCCACAAGAGATGTAATCATCAAGGAGACTCGTATCCTTTTCTTATCTAAATATTCCTTCTCATTTTTTCAGAAACTTCATCTAGAGCAACGTTTTGCTTTCCCTATTAAAATTGTCTCACTAACACCTAATTAAATTATAGTTTACCTCACAATTACCTTTAATAGGTCCTCATGAATCATTGGTATAAATGTACACATTTTCGCCTTTATCTTCTCTGTATATCTCTTCTAGCAAAACTGTATTGATTAATATCTGAAGATGTTCAAAAATTGCTTTGCATCCTTACCTATGTCTTTCTAGAGGCTCCAGCATATCTTATAGACCTGATGCATGATAAAAATGCTGAAATCCGTAAAGTCTGTGATAATACACTGGACATAATAGCGGTATGTGATATTAATTCATTGTCTGAGCATGAATGAAAATTGCAAGATGTTACTCTGATTTGGCATATGGCACTTGAACATATACGTATTTATAGATTTTTTCCCTATGATATTACAAAGGTTTTGGTGAAATTTACTGGTTCTAGTTTCCTTATTAATTCATATTTTAAAATATTTTTTGGAAACAGAGTCTTGATGATCTTTGATCATGCACTAGCGGTCCCCTGCCACGCGTTGCTGTGGCCCAGTCTGGTGATCTGGAAAATAAAGTAATGAGAAAGTGTTGGTTTCTAATATCTGTAATGTCTTTATGCTTGTGGGTAAGCTAAGCAGTATTTCTTGCTGTTTCTTTGTCAGTGTTGATAAGGAGATTGTCTGGTTTGCTTACTCTGGAACATGCAACATATCATTGTCCTTCTTTAGGGGTCCCTTTAAAATCTTTGATACTGCATCTATCATATACATGTGTGTGTGTGTGTGAATGAATGGATGGCCCTTTGTCAGGAGGGCTTTGATTATGTTTTCTTACCCTGGTGAAGGGAGTCGGACTGGATGGCCTTAAGGCAGCATTTCTCAACCATGGAAGTCAAGACCTCGGGGGGGGGGTCACCAGGGGAGTGTCAGAATGGTCACCAAAGACCACCAGAAAACACAGAATTTTCTGTTGGTCAGGGGGGTTCTGTGTAGGATGTTTGGCCCAATTCTATCGTTGGTGGGGTTCGGAATGCTCTTTTATTGTAGGTGAACTATACATCCCAGTAACTACAACTCCTAAATGTCAAGGTCTATTTTCCCCAAACACCATCTGTGTTTATATTTGGGCGTATTGAGTATTCCTGCCAAGTTTGGTCCAGATCCATCATTGTTTGAGTCCACAGTGCTCTCTAGATGTAGTGCTCTCTACAACTCCAAAACTCAAGGTGAATGCCCACCAAACCTTTCTAGTGTTTTCTGTTGGTCATGGGAGTCCTGTGTGCCAGGTTTGATTCAATTCCATTGTTGGTGGAGTCCAGAATGCTCTTTGATTATAGGTGAACTATAAATCCCAGCAACTACAACTCCCAAATGACAAAATCATTTTTTTTTTTAGTGATGGTCACTCCTTGTGTTGTGAGACGTTTTGTTGCCAAATTTGGTGTGATTTCGTTCATTGGTTCTTTTGTTTTTAGGGTACTCATTACGCACAGAGCATTTTTATATATGTAGATTTGAAATTTCGCTAAATTATTTAATTTTAAAACATTGTTCACTGTTTTTTAGTTTATCAACAACTTCAAGTTGAAATGTGAAAGAGTGCACATTTTAATATGTATTTTTATTTACTTTTTTTCCCAAATACAATAAAAGAGGGGGAACAAAAAGGATGTGGCGAAAAATAAGAAAGTTTATAAATAGTGAGGCAGGTAATTGGGGGGGGGGTTGGGAAGTGGGTTGGATGGGGTAGTGTTCAGGTTGGGATTAGGGGTGTGGTTAGGGTTGAAAGAGTGCACATTTTGATTTCTTTCAGTTTCATGCCTAAAATACAAGAGTAGAACAACTTCATCTCCTACTCTTCTACTATGTATTACTTAGATTCCCTTTCACAATCAAATTGTTGCTTAGAGATCTTAGTATTGACGTTTTTAATGTCCTTATATAGGAGTACGATGAGGAGTGGGCTAAGAAGATCCAGAGTGAAAAATTCCGGTGGCACAACTCCCAGTGGCTAGAAATGGTTGAAAGTCGGCAGTTGGATGAAAATGAGCAGTATCTGTATGGGGATGAACCTATTGAGCCCTACATCCATGAAGGCGACATTTTAGAACGGCCTGATCTTTATTACAACGCTGGTAAGTTGGAGCAAGCTGTATTTCCCACTGCACTTGAATCTGCATTGCATTCAGTGCTATAATGATGTTTGACCCAAATATTCTATTCTCCATACTAAGGATGCTTGTAGCCACTTGCTTATTAAGTGTGTATTAACAGTTGAATACATATTTTATAAAAATCCATATGGTTCTTCTTAACAAAGTTATCATAAGGACATAATAGATTATTTATTTCATCTTCTTTAAGAGCACTGATGCCCCTAACATAGTTTTTCTGGTTCTTGGTGGCAGGTGTAATAACTTCCAGTATATAAAACCAACAGTACTTGCTGGTGAACATTGGGTATTGACATATTCTAAGATTCCTGAAAGAAAACTAACTGTATAATTACCGTATATACATGAGTATAAGCTGACGCGAATATAAGTTGAGGCACCTCATTTTACAACAAAAAACAGATTGACTCAAGTATAAGCCGAGGGTGGGAAATGCAGCAGCTACTGGTAAATTCCAAAATAAAAATAGATACCAATAAAATTGCATTAATTGAGGCATTGGTGGGTTAAATGTTTCTGAATAAATAAGATAAGACTGTCCTCTGATTAAAGCATTATTCTAACCTTCTTCAGTGTAAATGTGTTTACATATCCTTCCAATAATAATAGATTAAAATAATAAATGTAATAATAACAATAATAAAGAATAAAATAATAAATGTAATAATAATGGAGTAAAATGATGAATGTAATAATAATAATAATAATAGAGTAAAATAATAAAAAACCTTGACTCGAGTATAAGCCAAGGGAGACTTTTTCAGCCTAAAAATAGGACTGAAAAACTAGGCTTATACTCGAGTATATACAGTAATTGTATGTTGTGTCCTTTTCTGGGGGCCCTGGTGGCACAGTGAGTTAAACTGCTGAGCTGCTGAACTTGCTGACCAGAAGGTCGGCGATTCAAATCCAGGGAGTGGGGTGAGCTCCTGTTGTTAGCCCCAGCTTCTGCCAACCTAGCAGTTCAAAAACATGCAAATGTGAGTAGATTAATAGGTACTGCTTCTGTGGGAAGGTAATAGTGCTCCATACAGTCATGCTGGCCACATGAGCTTGGAGGTGTCTCCAGGCAATGTCGGCTCTTCAGCTTAGAAATGGAGATGAGCACCACCCCCCCAGAGCCGGACACGACTAGACTTAATGTCATGAGAAACCTTTACCTTCACTATCCTTTTCTATTTTAACAGAAGGACTGCTAACACATGATGGAGTAGTGAGTCCTGATTTTTACAGTGATTATCATCTTCAGAATGGAGATCTTGTGGGTCAGCATCCTTTCCCTAGCAGGTAAACTGTTTCTAAAAAAGGTTAGTTGTATTATTTTGCTGCTTTGTTTTATACCTGTCCAAGTTCTAGTCGAAAGGACATAGTTCTATTCTTGCATTCTAAATTATTAGAAGGCATAGAATTTGGCAAAATTCCTGCTGTACTGGTTGGTATCAGGATTTGCTCCTACAACAGCCCCTGGAGTCCTGACATCTGCAACTGGGTTTGAAGCTGTAGGCACCATGAGGAATCACATAGCTTGTGATACTTTGTAGCGGAATCCTTAGACAACTGCTTTGTGATATTTCCAGGGTAGTTTGGAATCTTCTGTGTTGGTTCTCACATAGTTGCCTTTGGACAGATCTGAAGAAGGTGAGTGTGGGCATTCTGGTCAAAACTTGGAGGCAACACTTTAACTTGTGTCATTATAATTCCTGAGCAATGTGGAATAATGACTATTTTTAATTAGTAATGGAATCGCTAAAGGTTTTTTTTTAATACACTGAGTACTATTATTGTTAGTGTGCAGAGTGTTAACTTACTTATATTGGCCTCATACTTTTCCTTCTCCAACAACTATCCAGTACAGAAGTGTGGGAGGCGGCCACCATATTTTCTGAAGTACCTAAGGTGTCCGATCACCTTAGACAGCTACCTCTCAGACTTCCTGGACTGACAGATGTGTCAGAGAATGAAGAGACAGTCATGTGCTGCTCTGAGCGGCATGTAATTCTCTATTAACATAATAGAAAAACACTGATAGCTATCTTAAATAATTAAAGTAACAAAATTAAGAGGATGTTTTCAGAAGCAAAGATAACACAGTATTTAATGATTATTTTTTTTCATATTTGAACCTGCTTATAGGGATCCACTTGTTTTTTCCCTCTGATTCTGTTGTTGTTGTTGTTTTGTTGTTATTGTTATTTTGCCCCATGGTATCAGTTGTTTTATTTATTTATTTATTTGCGGTATTTCTATACTGCCTTTCTCAACTCCTAAAGGGACTCAGAGTGGTTCACTTTGAGTGTTAGCTTTCCTTGGTCATTATACTGTACTATTACTCCTTTTTCTTGGTCAGTCTGGCTAATCTATTTTGTGACTCCTAATATTTATTTGGATTCTATTAAAGGCTCTGCTTAATTCTTATTGCAGTTTGAATCAGGGATAGCCATGATAAGATCTGGCATTGCAACATCTTTAAGTGTTTTCCAAAAGCAAAATAGATACAAATAATACAAGTTTACTTTCATATTTTAAATCAGTCCTGGACCATGACAAAGCACAGGAAATTACAAAAAGGGATAGAAAGCAAGATTCCCCATTGGAATGGTGGGATTCCCCTTTTGGGAGAGTACTTATTTACTCTCTGGCTAGTTGTGCTTTGGCGTTTCTTCAAGCGCTTCAGCGCTAGCAGTGTCCTGACAAGTACTCAATAGTTTCCTATCCTAGTTTTGAGCCCTGAATGCGATATACTCTGCTTGGCCAAAAAGTTTTTAAAACTTATTTGGGGCTTTCTTTTTTTAACGTGCTGTTTCTGTCTTGATACGTGTTACAGTACACAGTGAGGAAGTGCATTTTGTAGTCACCCCAACTTCAGACCAGCTTCAAGCTGCATTATATGGTCTGTGTAGGTCCGGCCTTCACCACTTGGCAATACAAAGGGGCCAAAATATCCAGGAGCAGGAGGTACCTTGTTCTTAAGGAACCTGCCCACAGAGCCCTTGGATTCCCTCTTGCATTTTTTTTTTTTTTTTGCCCGGGGGAGGTGGGGAGGAATTCTGAAGAAGCCAAACTACCTTACATTGGATGATTCCCATTTTACAAATGTCAACTCACCTTTGTATTATTTTTTACATAGTGTTGCAATGGATGGATCTGGCCAGCCTGTGGGTATCCCAAGTCGCCCGACCACCGCGTATGGATATCGACCAGATGACCCTTTCTGTTACAACTATGGAACACGATAAAACCTTACTGTTACCACTTCGGAGGCTGATGTATTAAACTTCTTATATCTGTAGCTAAATTAAGACTTTTTCTTAGTAATGCATGATTCTACTGTTTTAAAGATCAATGTGATACACTCTCTTTAGTATTCACTGTTCTAGATAAATGTTGATCATTTAGTTACTCTTACCCACATTTGTCTGTTGTACAGTTTCTATCAGATGTTGGAAACTACTAACTGAAAAGTTAAACACTGTTATGGTATGATGTGATATGTTAATTTAATTATTATTTAAAGCTAAATATGTAGTCCGTGGTATTGACTACCCAGGCTCGCTAGCTGTATTAACTAGAGTTGTGAAAATGTTTATCTTTTTTTTTAATAAAATGTACTTGAAAAAGATTGGATAATGTCCTTGAGGAAGAGTGGACAATTTGTAAGCACTTAGAAAGGAATGTTGAGCTCACTAAAAGTCAGCATGGGTTTCTCAAAATCAAGTGATCTTAGGTCTTTTTTGATAGAATTACTAATATAGTAGAATGCTCTGGATACATATATTTTTATTTCAGTAGGGCCTTTCAATTACTCCCACGTGGAATTCTTGCAAAAAAGCTACTAAACTATAGGCTAAATAATATTACTATTAGGTGACTTGAACAACTAAGCACAATCTGAAAGAGAAGTAACTATTGTCAGCCCAAGAGAAGTGAATGGTGGGATGCCACAGAGTTCTGTCCTGGGCCCAGTACTTACTATTTGACATTTTTATCAATTACTTGGATGACGAAATAGAAGATATGCTTATCAGATTGCAGATGCCACTGAATTAGTTAGGAAAACAGGATCAGAATTCAAAGTGACCCTAACAGATTAGAAATTAGTAAGAACATCAGACCTAGCCTTGTCTTACTCAACTGCCGAGTATGCCTGCCCTGTTTGGCATAGGTCTGCCCATGCAAAGTAGGTGAACATAGCATTGAATGAAACATGCAGAGTAATCACAGAAGGTCTTAAACCTACCCCTGTTGATAAACTTTATAAGCTAGCTGGCATTATTGCCCCCCTCCCCCCAATGTGCAATGGGAAGTTGCTGCTAAATGTGAGAGAAATAAGGTTGAACACTGTGAAAGCTATCCTTGGCTACCAGCCTCCTCTCAGTAGACTCAAATCAAGGGAAAGCTTTATGAGAACTACCACTCCTCTTGGCATCCCCCCAGCAACATCCCCCCAGCAACAGCAAGGGTATCTCTCTGGGCCGCTAAACCAGGAAATCCCAACTGGATGGCCCCACACAAGGATCTTCCTCCAAGGGCAAACCAAGAATGGGCAACTTGGAAGTCCCTGAACAGACTCAGAAGTGCGGTGGGCAGATCAAAAGACAACCTGGCAGAATGGCACTACCTAAAAGAATCACACACCTTGTGTGACTATGGAGCAGAACAGACAACTCCGCATCTGTATGCTTGTCCACTATGCCCTGCCTCATGTACAGAGAAAGAATTGTTGGGGGATACAGACAATGCCATTGCTCTTGCTCGTTTTTGGTCAAAAGATATTTAGCCGCCTGCGCTCCTTCTATTTTTATCAGTTTTATACTAATTTATGCAATGCTTTTGATATGAAAATATAAATGAACAGACAAGATAACTGGGCCAAAACTAACAAAGGGAATTTCAACAGGGAGAAGGTGGTACACTTTGGCAGAAAAAAATTAAATCCAAAGATATAGAATGGGTGACACCTGGTTTGACAATAGTAGATGTTAAAGGGACGTAGAAGTCTTACTGGACCACAAGCTGCACTTGAGCCAACAGTGTGATGCAGCGACTAAAGAATCCAGAAAGAGTGTGGTGGAGGCTCCTTCTTTGGAAGCTTATAAACAGAGGCTGGATGGCCATCTGTCAGGGGTGCTTTGAATGCAATTTTCCTGCTTCTTGGCAGAGGATTGGACTGGATGGCCCATGAGGTCTCTTCCAACTCTATGATTCTATAAGTGTTTGTAGGGATAATGCTTGTGAACTTGGAAAACGTAGAAATAGTTAACTGTGAACCCTCTGTAAACTTTGCTTTTGCAGGACATCCTGAGGCACATTTTGCCATAATTTTTCAATTTCTCAAGTCTCAACCAATTCTGCCACAAAAACAAAGTTTCTGGAGAAGAACAACTACTTTCAAAGTAAGGACCACACAATTATACAAGAAATGACCCTTTCAAAACAGGAACAGATTTTTTTTCCAAATTTTGTTACATAGTGTAATAGGTGTTAATTTTTCATTGATGCAAGTCTCTTCCAGTATGTGAGAAATGCATATTCCTCTGCATATATTCAACATTTGGCTATGCTTTGTTCTTGCAAATAACAGTAGAACGGCAATTATGCAAATACTCGCTGTAACTTGCAGATATAGAATCACAGAATAATGTAGTTGGAAGAGATCACATGGGTCATCTAGTCCAATCCCATACTTCCATGCAGGAAAAGTACCATCAAAGTATTCCTGACAGATGGCCATCGAGCCTCGGTTTGAAATCTTTCAGGGAAGGAGCTTCCACCACACTCCAAGGCAGAGAGTTCCACTGCTGAACAGCTTTTACAGTCAGGAAGTTCTTCCTAATGTTCAGGTGGCATCTCCTCTCCTGTCATTGGGACCCATGGCTTTGAGTATTAGTTTCCAGGGCAGCAGAAAACATGCCTACTCCCTCACTTATGGCACCTGAAACAAAATATACAAACAAAGCAAACAATCTTCAGGCAGGGAGGCCTTTTATTTCATCATCCCACCGCTTGCCACCATTTGAAACAAAAGCACAGAGGGATCTCTAACTGAGAGATTGAGAAAGAGAGGCTTTGTTTATGATGAAACAGCAACTCAGTTTATTTGTAGCATTCTTGTGATAAAAGCGTAGTGGTTACATAGGATCAAATGCTTGCTGCTTACAGAACAACAGAATTTCAATATGAGTTTCACTCAATCTATTCCTTTTCCCCCAAAAGGACTTTTCTACTAATACATAAAAACAAACTTCACACTATCTTTATCCTATTCCTTTGATCAATCTTCCAGCTGCTTTTCAGCGACTTCCTTCCAGATCCTAACTCCCTACCAACTCTCATAGACTCTCTCCAGCTGACTAACTAACTGCCATAGAATATTCAGTTGGGCTTCGCCAACTGTCATTCTTGCCTCTGCCCCTTTTTCAAATCTTGGCATCTACTCATTTGCATAAGGCCAATCAGGTCGCTGTCATGCAAATATCTCTCCACTGGTGCTATCGTTCTCTGGGCACCACAAAATGGCTGCTCATGCGCCAACCCTTTAAGGTCACTTCCTAACTTTCTAAAGTGAGTCAGGTTCGTTACAGCACTCTTTCAGATAAACAGTCTGCTATCCTTGTTAATACTCTTGAGATGTGACCTATGCAATAAGGCAACTGTGTAGAAGTGGGGATTTGGGTTGTTTTCCGGTCGGATGACTAGCGACACCTACTGAAATCCTGGCTTCTACACATCCATTACAGCAGGCATGGACAAATACCCTCCAGGTGTTTCATGACAGGAAACAATCAGGGGCAGCTGATACGTCCCAAGAAAGGATTCCCCCAGGCAAGAAGCAGCCTGGCTGTGAAGCTGTAAAGCCATTCAATGCTAATCAATGTGGCCAATTGCAACATTCACACTTGCCTCAAACAGACAAGAGTTCTTTATCCCACCCTGGACATTCCACAAAAATATAAACCACATTTGCCTAGTTTCCAACATACCTCAGAACCTCTGAGGATGTCTGCCATAAATGTGGGCAAAACGTCTCCACAAAAGTCACAATTGATACTGAAATTCAACACTGCTTGAGCTCTGCAAGTGCAGCGTTTTTCTGAATGAAGCAGAGAGTGTTTGAGGACCGGGACATCCGTAGGGATACCAAGGTGCTTGTTTATAAAGCTATTGTCCTCCCAACCCTGCTATAGGCCTGCGAGACATGGACGTCACATGCAACTCCTGGAACGATTCCATCAGCACTGCCTTTGAAAAATCTTGCAAATCTCTTGGGAAGACAAGCGGACAAATGTCAGCATGCTGGAAGAAGCAAAGACCACCAGCACTGAAGCGATGGTCCTCCGCCATCAACTCCGCTGGACTGGCCATGTTGCCCAACCACTGTCTTCCAAAGCAGTTGCTCTGCTCTTAACTGAAGAACGGAAAACGGAATGTTGGTGGGCAGGAAAAGAGATTTAAAGATGGGCTCAAAGCCAACCTTAAAAACTCTGGCATAGTTATTTTGATGTTGTATGGGGAAAATGTGTTGTAAATGGTTTAAAAAATAAGGAAAGTTACCGCCACAAGACGAAATGGGATTTTGGACAGATGATATGTAAAAGTTGTGGCTTGAGATGGGGGGAGGGAAGCACAGTGGTGGGAAAAAAGGGGGGAGAATGCTTAAGCAGAACAATAAGACTATATGTTAAAAAGTGTGTTGAATAATATGTAACTGCTATAAACAAATGTATAACAAATGTAATAACTATGATAAAACAATAAAAATACTTTAAAAAAAACCTCTGGCATAGACACTGAGAACTGGGAAGCCCTGGCCCTTGAGCGCTCCAGTTGGAGGTCAGCTGTGACCAGCAGTGCTGCAGAATTTGAAGAGGCACAAAAGGAGGGCGAAAGAGAGAAATGTGTCAAGAGGAAAGCGCGACCGGGACCGCCTTCCACCTGGAAACTGATGCCCTCACTGTGGGAGAAGATGCAGATCAAGAATAGGGCTCCACAGTCACCTARGGACCCACRGTGAGGATARACTTGGAGGACCAGCATCCTCGGACTACGAGGGATCGCCTAAATAAGTAAGTTTCCAACAGACCTCACAACCTCTGAGGATGCCTACCGTAGATGTGGGCSAAACYTCAGAAGAGAATGCTTCTGGAACATGGAAAACTCACAGCAYCCCTCCAGGAGTTTTGGACTTCAACTCCCAGAAATCCCAGCCATCTTACCTGCTGTTAGGAATTGTGGGTGTTGAAGTCCAAAAATCTGGAGGAGCAAAGTTTGCCCATGCCTGCATTAAAGGCACAGGAGCAATGCGACAATCCTCAAATGCATGCAGGACCAGTGGTTCTCAACCTGTGGGTCCCCAGATGTTTTGGCCATCAACTCCCAGAAATCCCAACAGCTGGTAAACTGGCTGGGATTTCTGGGAGTTGTAGGCCAAAACACTTGGGGACCCATAGGTTGAGAAGCAATGCCTTACACAGAGAAAAGGAGATGCTGGGAGCTTGTCCTGGGCAACGCCAGCCTTGCCTTGATTCCCATCCGCAAAGGAAACCGTCAAATCAGGCAACCCTCCTCCAATGAGAAAGTAGAGAACGTTCGGCCTCTTGTGACGTCATGCCACCTAGCAACCTCAGCCACCGGGGAAGCGGAAGTGTTCACCGGTGCCTCTCGGTCCTCCAGCGCGACTCCATGGTGGGTCCGGGCAGGAAGTCGTCCTCCCGCCTTCCGCTTGTGGAGGGAGCGCTTGTTGAGGAAGTGAGAGGCCCAGCGGGGAGCGCCCTTTGCGGGGCTGCCGGCTAGTGGAGTGAGGCCGAGGCGCTCTTCCTACTCCCTTCAGCCTCTAAAGGCGGAGAAGCTTCAAGGGGCTCCATGACGGTGTCCATTCCTGACTGTCATTAAGGTCTGCCTTTCTCTATCCTCCTCCCGCAGTGACTGGTTATTTGGCTGGACTGCTATTGGCTGTTAGTATTGAAGGCGAGGTTGGCTTGTTGTTGTTGTTGTTGTTTAAGGGAAAAAACCAAGAAGATGCTGTTGAGAGGTCAGCAGAAGGTGACATCCCCATTTGTGCCCAGTCTCTGGCTCCACTGAGGCTGGGTCTACCCTGCCATAATCATCCAGTTCCTGACTCCAGATCATTTGCTTTGAACTGGATTAGGTGAGTCTACACTGCCTTATAATCCAGGTCAAAGCAGATAATCTGGATTTAGGAATTGGATGATTATGGCAGGGGAGATCAAACCTTTTTGTTCAGGCAGGCTTTTGAAGAAGTCGCCATGACCACCAAGTCTTGGCCTCTCTTGCTTTAACACATATTTCATAACGTATTGAGGATTCTAACCATTTTAATTTCTAGTCTTTTTTTCAATAGCAAAAAGACAAAATCACGCAAATTGCAAGTTTTAAAGTTTTGTTTTAAAAGAACTCATCCATTGCTGATGCAACACAATAATAATAATAATAATAATAATAATAATAATAATAATAATAATAATAATTTAATATTATTATAGTGTGATTTCTATTTCCTGTGCTGGCCTGTGACCGAAATAAATGATTTGATTGATATGATAATATTTAATTAATAATAATTTAATATTATTATGGAGCCTCCGGTGGCGCAGTGTGTTAAAGCGCTGAGCTGCTGAGCTTGTTGACCCTTTTTCCATCAAAAAAGGCATAAAATGCGACTATTACGTGGTGAAGTAGGGTAATTTAAATCGATAAACTGCTGGTCCTCCATATCCAAAGAATGTGTTTCCATAAATCCAAAAATCCATGTCTTGAATATATATATATTTTAAATCCCAAAAGCAAACCCTGATTTTGCCATTTTATATAAGTGATACAGCATTGGAGCCCCTGGTAGCGCAGTGGGTTAAAGCGCTGAGTTGCTGAGCTTGTTGACCGAAAGGTCACAGGTTCGATTCCGGGGAGCGGCATGAGCTTCCGCTGTCAGCCCTAGCTTCTGCCAACCTAGCAGTTCGAAAACATGCAAATGTGAGTAGATCAATAGGTACCGCTCCGGCGGGAAGGTAACAGTGCTCCATGCAGTCATGCTGGCCACATGACCTTGGAGGTGTCTATGGACAACGCCGGCTCTTTGGCTTAGAAATGGAGCTGAGCACCACACCCCAGAGTCAGACATGACTGGACTTAATGTCAGGGGACAACCTTTACCTATTATTATTATTATTATTATTATTATTATTATTATTATTAAAAACTGGGTGGAGTGCCTAAAGACCTTGGCCTGCACTTAAGCACAATCGGCGCTGACAAGATTACCATCTGCCAGCTGCAGAAGGCCGCCTTACTGGGATCTGCACACATTATTCGCCAATACATCACACAGTCCTAGACACTTGGGAAGTGTCCAGCGTGTGATCCAATACAACAGCCAGCAGAGTGTCTGCTGTGGACTCATCTTGTTGTGTTTCAAATAATAATAATAAAAACTTTATTTCTATCCTGCCCTATCTCCCCATGGGGACTCAGGGTAGTTCACAACAAACAGCGGCAATCACTCAATGCTGTAAAATTGCAACAAAAATAAAAACAGCCATAAATTAAATAAAACATATTACACATCCACATCAAGCAATAGTGAGACAAATTAGGCATGACATAACAAAATTACATTTTGACTGATAAACATTTTAAAACATGACTTAAAATTAGGGCTAATAAAATATAAATTTTAAAAGCCAAAGTAACAAGCCATTTCCATATTCCGTTTCCATTATATTTGTGCCAGATATTCTATTGTATCAGTACACTGATACAATGCTACAACAAAGAGCGAAACATATACACATGACTTAAATACGCAAGTACATACATGCCCACAGGAAAACAAAGCTAACAGCCGTGGTGGCTAAATGGGTTAAACCGTTATACTGGCTGAACTAATGATTGGAAGGTTGCCTGTTTGAGATGGGGTGAGCTCCCGTCTCTCAGCTCTAGCTTGCAGGAACATGAGAGAAGCCTCCCAGCTAACACATCCCAGCATCCCCTGGGCAACGTCTCTGTAGATGGCCAATTCTCTCACGCCAGAAGCGACTTGGAGCATGTTGTCTTCTGACACAATTTATAAAAAACAATCTATTAATCTCTCACTATCTGATTGTTTTTATCTCTCATTTAGTCTATTGTGTTTAATGTTTGTATATTTTAAATTGTATATTAATGCTTTTATGTCAAGCCGCTTTGAGTTCCCTTTGAGGTGATAAAGCAGGATATAAATAAATATAATAATAGTAATTATAATAATTATATAATCACACTTCTGCTTTCAATAGCATTCTTTTAATTCATAAATCACAGAGTTAACAAATGCTATCATTATCATGGCAAACTGATTAGCAAATCCCACTCTCACTTGTAGTTGGGCAAATATTTCTTCTTGGTCAGCCTAGACAATTTGTTCATCTCAGCTAATTCAGAAATCTTCATCGATCTTTCTCATTATTTTTCATCTTCAGTTTTCCATGAATTTGATCCATTTTTGTTTTCTTTCCATCTGAAATTTATCAATCGTTCGCTATCTTTTACTTGACACATTCAATTGATGTCCAATAAATCCCAAATCTGTGAGAAGACAATGTGAGAAAACATAAGAAGATACAATCAATTGACTTAAAATTAATTACGTAATAAAGAAATAGAAAAGAAGACTTAGTTGTAACTATGATAATTATGTAAAAAAGAACTGCCCGTACCTCAACAACCTTCACCCTCTTTTGTTTTCTCCTTGAGACATATTAAGCATTTGTAAAGATGCAACTAACTAATAATGAATCTATTGTTCCTAAAAAAAATGTCCTGCCCTTGTTCTCCCCCCACTCACCCCCCAATCTCTTAGTAAATGTTTAATAAAAATTATTTGGAAAAAGGAAGGTTTTAAAGATCAAGTCAGGGGCTTGAATATGTTTTTGAATGTGTTTTTATGGATCTTAACTGAATTTTTAAAATACCAATGATATTTCGTTCTGTTTTAATGTTTGTATATTTGTATACTTTTAACTGTATTGAAATACTTTTAATGTAAGTCACCTTGAGTCTCCTTGTGGGGAGAAAAAGCAGGGTATAAATATACATTATCAACATCATAATAAATGGTCTGAGACTTGCTTTCATCCATGCCCAGTTATTCTATATAATTAGCCATGTTTAAAGCAGCAAGAGTTCCGTGATATCTTAAGTATAGCTTAAATATTAACAAATGTGATGTGGCAGGTGTTGTTGTGATCTAGAGCCCAGTCAGATGAATTTCTTAATCTGATCAGAAGCAGAAGAAATCCCACTTTTGCTTCCCGCTTTTAATGACTTACACTGTTTACATTTTTATTCACAGTTTGTGTGACTTTACAATACAAACTTTATTACAGTCACTGATCAGCACAAAACGGGGAAACACAGCTCCCCAGTGAAGCTGTTATTTTAAAAAAACAGATTAGAAAACAGTTTAAAATCCAGGTTAATATAACAGGTATGGAACCAATACATATGGACTGATATGAGGGGTCAAAGCACAGTGGCGGGGGGGGGGGTCACTCAAGAGGATGGGAAGGGCACATTATAAATCAAGTAGCATTTCAGTTTGTATGTGTACCTTCCTGCTAACTGAAGATAACACTGTGTAACACGATGTTTCTTTCTGGGTTATAAATGTCATTTCCTAATTGGTTCTATCATAAAAATATGGAAAAGGTTTATTAAACTGCAAAAACTTTGGTCTTGCAGGACATCCTGCAGCACATTTTGCTATAGTTTTCAATGAATATCTCATTGAATCTCAAACAATTCATCATAGTTTGTGGCAGCCACAAAAACAAAGTTTCTGGAGTATAATAACTACTTTCAAAGTAAGTTCTGCACAAGCAAACAGGAAATAGCACTTTCGAACCAGGAACAGAACTTTTTTTTCAAATTTTGTTACATGGTGTAATCTTTTCTCACTTTTGTTCTGCAACAGATGCATGAGATAGAATTCAGTTCCTGGTGAGTCAGCAATCAGAATGGCCCACAGATGTCACCAGAAAACTCATACTGGAAATCCCAAGCATATAAATCAATCTTAGCACACTTAAGAGAAAATACACTGAAAATAATGCATATATGTTACTATTATCCACATAGAACTAATAACACTCTAAACTAGTGCTGAGAAATAGGGGATAAGACTATGTGTGGCCAATGTGCCCAAAAGTACGGTGGTTTTGGGATGAAATGCTATCATGGATAAGCCAAATGATGAGGTAAACAATACGCTTCAGGAGAGCTGTGTTGATAAATTCTGAATTCAGAAGCGAGAATAAGGATCTGGTAAATAAAAATTGTATACTGCTATTATGTGCCGCAAGATTTAAAATAGTGAAAATCAGAAAAAAGTTGAAGAATCTGACAATAAAAATTGGTTAAACAGAATATGGGCAATAGCTGTATTGGGATCCACAAACTTTTTAAACAGGGCCAGGTCACAGTCCCTCATACTGTTGGAGGGCCGGATTATAATTTGAAAAAAAAACATGAATGAATTCCTATGCACACTGCACGTATCTTATTTGTAGTGCAAAAAACACTTAAAAACAATACAATAATTAAAATGAAGAACAATTTTAACAAATATAAACTTATTAGTATTTCAATGGGAAGTGTGGGCTTGCTTTTGGCTGATGAGATAGTGTTGTTGTTGTTGTTGTTGTTGTTGTGTGCTTTCAAGTCGTTTCAGACTTAGGTTGACCCTGAATGAGGGCCAAGTAAATGACCTTGGAGGGCTGTATCCGGCCCCCAGGCCTTAGTTTGAGGACCCCTGCTCTAAATTAAGATTAGCAAAAAGTTAAGATTAGCCACATGCTCTGGATTCAATTTTAAGTTTCAGTTCTGTGCATTTTTGCCTGG